CTCCGGTGGTCAGCTGGAACAACGCATCGAGCAACACAACCTGACGCAGCTGTCCCTGGAAGAGAAGCGCACCGAGCTGCTGAGCACGTCGACGCAGCTACGAGAGGTGGAGGAGAGGTACCTGGCCAGCACCGTCACCATACAGGACAAACTGGCACAGGATCTCAGGGTGCGCCACTCTCTCCGTTAAGAGTTTTTAAAAAGACACAATTTATGGGGTGTAGTTTTTCCTTTTTCGTTTGTTTGTGAGTTTTTCAGTTTGTTTGGGGTTTTTTTGTTTGTTGATTTGTGTCTTCGTTGAAAAAAACAATGTCAATAGCTTAGTCGTTAGGCTACCGGGTCCGTAATCGTGAGATTGCGGGGTCGAGGGTTCAAGCCTCAGCCTGGTCCAACTTTTTGTCCTTGGAAAAGACTTTGCACAAATTTCCCATTTGGCTCGGTGTTTTCGGAGATGGACATTCGACTCGGAGGTCCCACAACTGTCTCTTAAATAACCTAAATGTTGATAGGGACGGTAAACCTATACCATTTCACCATTTTTAAAAAAGCAAAAAAAACACTCTAAAATCTTTTGATCCCAGCATTGTTATGCAGTTAACTAAGAGACAAATTGACCGAAACATTGTTGTATATTTAGACTGAGTGAAATTTTGACCCATGTCCTCCACAGGATGAGATTCGGATGCTGCATCAGAAGGTGAAGGAATCGGAGCTGGGCGCGGAGAAAGACAAGTTTTTGAGGAACAAGGTCACGGAGGACATGGACAACTTGGTGCGGGAGAACTCCTCGCTGAATCAGCAAATTGTGGAGCTGTCTCGCCAGCTGGAACGGGTGAGGAAATACTGGAAAACTTGAGGAAATACTGGAAAACTTGTAAAACTTATGGGAATACTGTAAAAGGAAATACTGGAAAATTTGAGGAAATACTGTAAAGCTTGAGGAAATACTGGAAATACTGTAAAACTTGAGTTGTTTACACTTACTGTCTAGGGTACCGTACGTTTGACTGCGTAAAATGTTTGTAGGTGATGCGTTTATCTTTGTTATTTTGTCTTACAGTAGCTTATATCACACCTGTCCATGTGTTTCTCTCTGTTCGTGTGTCCGATAGGCCCTATATCACATCAGTCCATGTGTTTTATCTTTATTATTTTGTCTTACAGTAGCTTATATCACATCAGTCCATGTGTTTTGTTTTTGTTATTTTGTCTTACAGTAGCTTATATCACATCAGTCCATGTGTTTTGTTTTTGTTATTTTGTCTTACAGTAGCTTATATCATATCAGTGCATGTGTTTTGTTTTTGTTATTTTGTCTTAAAGGCCCTATACCACATCAGTCCATGTTTATCTGTGTTCATGTGTCTTACAGGACCTATACCACATCAGTCCATGTTTATCTGTGTTCATGTGTCT